TAAAGAATCCTCCTTAGGACTCTTATACATCTCATTTCATTCAAACATAACTTATAAACATTTCTACATATCATACAACAAACCAATATATCTTTTAAAACCATACACATATGTAAAAGGATTCAAAAATACTTAAGAAAACAAACCCACTCGCCTAGCTAGAGGCAAAATAGTAAGCTTCCCAAGCTGAGCGAACTGACTCGCTCAACCACTGCAACTTTCTGCCAACCCCCCCCCCCCCCCAAAAAAAAAAAAACTCGCCAAAGTAGCCAATTTTGTTCGCCCAGTTAGAGCCAAAACAACAAGCTTCCCAAGCTAAACGAATTGGCTCGCCCAATTAGCCAATTCTGCTTGCCCAACTAGAGCCAAAACAATAAGCTCCCTAAGCTAAGTGAGCTAGCTCACCCAACTAGCCAATTCTGCTCACCCAACTAGACTACATATTTGTACAAGAGTAAAAACTGCAAAATTAGCACTTCTAGACCACCCATTACCACTTCTAATCAGTTTTACTAATTTGTAACACTCCTAGATTAGATTATGGACTATTTTAGACCTAAACTAACAACGTATAACCTATATTAAACCAATAATCAACTGTTTACAACAATGTATCCACTCACACACAACTAAAATCTCAACTTAGAGATCAAAATTGAAATCTACATGTTCTAGCTCATTTTTAAGTAGCTTAGGGACTCTAACAAGTCATAAATGACTTACCAATAACCTCTGAACTGACCAATGTGACTCATAACCTATAACTCAAAATCTCACTACTTTAAATCCCCAAAAATGCACTTAAAACCAATCTAAAACATTAACAAAAATACTACTAACACTGTCTTGACTGGATTTCAACTAATTAGTCACTCTAACAAGTCTTAATTTTACCTTTAAACATTCTCTAGAACTGAATCAATTCATTTTAACTCTTAGTTCAAAAACTCACACACCAAAACCTCATATTTGAGCCAAAAACACCTACTACACCATTTAGTTCCATTCTCATCCATCTTTAACCAATTTCAACATCACTAAATATCTCCTGAACATAATCCTTCATACATTTAGAGTTTCACACATAATCATTCGGCATTAACAATCATCATGTGATCAAATTCTCTTATTCAATAACAGCAATTCACATTATTAGCATTTCAATCATAAACATCCAATATCAACAACTACACATCCTAAACGCAATAATTCATACATTATAAAATTTACATGGAAGAAGAATTAGCTCCCCTTACCTCATAAGAAACTATCAAGCTCTAAGAACGTGTCCCAATTGCTTAAAATACAAGGAAATTCTACAAACACCTACGAAACACTAAATTGAAAGCGGAAAGAATTCTTAAGACCTTAGACTATCCAGGAACAAGTAGAAGAAGCAAGATTACACATGCAACAACAGTTCGCTTCTTCTAATTTCATACTAAGAAAAAAAAAAGAGAAAAATAAGTCGAAACTTACATGTTCTATGACAAATTTTATTCGGATAGAAGTGGAGATAATTCATTTGTGATCTCCTAGGAACTTCCTGATCATTAAACAAATGATCAAGAGATGAGAAAGCTTAGAGAGAAGTGAGAGGAAGAAAAGAGAAAGAGTTTTAGAGAGATGAACTTTGTTTTATTAATGAGACGAGTTTAAGAAATTTTATTTATATTATCGGCTTATTTTAAAATAAAATATTCGATCTCATTATTTTAAAACACCTATCAACTCTAATACTCTATTTTCTGGGTTGTTACATATATGAATTTGAATATCAATTTAAAATGTTTTAAAAGATATTATTAAATTAAGAAAAAATATTTTTTTAAAATTTAAATATCAAAACATATTAAAATTTAAAATCCAAAAAACATATTTAATTCTATAAAATATTATCGATTGAATTTCTCAACATTTTGTTTCACCAACTCTTGATTTAATAATATTATTTTGTTGATTCAACTGTACCTAATATATTTTTAATTTAGTTTTTTTTATATCTGCATAACATTCATAACTCTATTTTGTATAGAAAAATAATTCTTTGATACATGTAAAATTTTTACATTTATTTGACACTATCCTTATTTATTTTTTCTTCTCTTCTTTCTTGAAAAAATACAAAATTTCATATTTTTATAATCATTTTAGTGTTAAATAAGTGTAAAAGTATGTCAGTATTATTTCTCTTTTGTATATATAAGAACTCAGTTAATAATGTTATATAAACCACACTAGGAAGACGTAAAGGGACTTCGGTTAGAAAGAACACATCGACAATGTTTTATAAGATAAAAAGTAATAGTTTATGTGAAGAAATAGAAGAGAAAATTAGTTTTAGTTTGATGAACCGTAAAACTAGTATGTTTTCCTTTTATTAATTCTAACCCTTTTTTGGAAATCTCTTATTTTTTTTATCACTACCAAACCAAATGCAAAGCAATATGAACTTAATAGGATAGAATTTTGTTTTTTTTTTTTTTTTTGTCTTTTGACATTTTGTATAGACAGCTTTTGAAATTAATTTGAAATATAATCACGAGAGTCGTGTTTCACATAGGTTTACATTGACGTATTTTATTTGTGCATCAAATTTTTTATGAGGAAAATAGTTTTAAATTTAGACCTACCCATGGGTTGGAGTTTATTTATGTGTTTATTATAAGAGATTAAATGCTAAGAAAATAATAATAAATATTTTTAAGTTTATAATTAAGTTTTAAGTAAAATCAACTTGAAAAATGATTTATAAGTTTAAAATATCAATATATTTGTAAAAATATGAATAGTAGACATTGTAAAAATCATAGGATAAACATTTGTAAATTATAGAGTAGATTGTCTAAAAATATAAGGGTGTGTAAAAACATGTAAGGTAAACTCACTAAAAATACAAATCAGTGTATGAATAAACACAACTAATTTATATTGCTAGACTTGTCTAATTAGTGCATTGGCAAACTCATTTAGTATGTGTTATTAGATTCGTCTAATTAGTATATGGATAAACTCGTTTAACGTGTATTGTTTTACTTATTTAATCGAATATAAACGGACCAATATAATATATATTGTAAGACCGGTTTAATCAAATAATTGATAAAGTCATCTAATGTGTATTAATAGACTCGTCTAATGTATATAGTTATACTCATATAATCAGTGTATAGACAAACTCGTTTAATGTGTGTTGTAAGACTCGTCGGATTAGTGTATGGACATACTCGTCCAATGTGTATTCTTAGACTCATTCAATGTATGGAATGACTCCTCTAATGTATTTTTCTATACTCGTCTAATCGATGCATGGATAGACATCTAATGTCTTTTGTTATACTCATGTAATCAGTGTATGAAAAAACTTGTTTAATATGTATTGCAATATTCATTTAATTATTGCATTAAAAGACTTGTCCAATGTGTATTAATAGAGTGATTTATCTGCATTAAAAGTCTAATTTGTGTGTAAAAAGACTTGTCTAATGTATATTACTATAGTCGTGTAATCAATATATGAATGATTTATGTATAATGTATTGTTAGACTCGAATATTAAATACATTGATAAACTCGTATAATGTTTTTTGTTTTACTCATCTAATCAATGTATTCCTAGACTTATCTAATAATTTTTGTTATAGACCTTTAATCAACATATGAAATGATTTTTGTAATACTTTTTGTTATACTTATCTAATTAGTATATGGACAATCTCATTTCTTTATCGTTAGACTTATGTAATTTTTATGCTATATTTGTGTAATCAATGTATGAAAAGGCTCATCTAATGTATATTGTTAGATTTTCTATTCAATACATTAATAAATTCGTCTAATATGCATTGCTAGGCTTGTTTAATCAGTGTATGAATATACTCGTATAACATGTATGGTTATTTCAAGACTCATATAATTAGTAAGCGGACAAACTCATTTAATATGTGTTAATAAACTCGTCTAATCTGTGTATAGAGAGACTTATCTAATGTATACTAGACTTGTTAAATTAGTGTATAAAAATACTCATTTATAGTCTATTGTTAGACTCATTTAATTATTGCATGGACAAAGTCATCTAATCAATATATGTACAAACTCATTTAATGTGTATTGGAGGACTTGATTAATCATTGAATGGACAAACATGTTGGACAGTTATGTATGGACAGACTTGCACAATGTATATTGTCAAGTTCATTTTATCAATGTACGGATAAACTCGTCTAGTGTTTGTTGCTATGTGCATGGATAAATTTTTCTAATGGTATTCGTAAACACATCTAATCAATGTGCGAAATGATTCATCTATGCTTATCTAGTGATTGTATGGATATACTAATCTATTGTTTATTATTAAATTTGTCTGATTAGTGCAACTACTAACTCGTTTAATATTTCATGTTATACTCATGTATTTAGTGTATACTTAGACTCGTTAATCATTATATGAAGTGATTCATCTAATTTTTTTTATTATACTCATATAATTAGTATATGGACCCACACATGTCCACTTCCACGCACATGCACATGCACACACAAACCACCTAATGAGCCTACAAACAACAACTTTGACAAACCTTATTTATCTTCAAGAACTTGGCATAATTTTACCTTTATTGTAAAGTAAAACCAATATATCTTGAGAAAACACTCATCAACTCCTCTTAATAATTCTTGACAAAATTAATTAAATATTAGTGATAACTTTTAAGAGAAAAGCATATGATATTTCACGCTACATTTCATCTCAACCACAGTTTCCACTTGAATATTAATTGTAAAACCAATATAACTTGAGAGACAATTCACCAACTCCGCACATAATCCTAATGAATTAACTAAAAAGTCTATCAATAGTACACAACATTTAATAATAAAAATAATGACACATTGTGCAATAAAAAAAATACAACATATAATACATAACATCCATTACTCTGAATCTAGTCTTGAATAACGACGGTCTTGTGAATTATTATAATAATATCAGCTAATCATCTTCCACTAGTTAAGGAGGAGGACAATCGGTTTAAAATATCAGAGCCAGAATGCATGCTTCTTCTATTAACACCATCAACACTAAAAGAAGATGATGGTGTTGCTTTGAGAAGAGTTTCAGTCTCCTCTGATGACAAGTTGACTTTTTCCCATTGGCGCTTCTCCACAATGTTGATCCCTTCAAGTTCCATTGCCACTTCTTTCATGGTGGGTCTTTCCTCCCCCTTCAACCTCAAACAATGGCTTGCAATATTTGCAACATCCATTAGTTGCTCAACATTTGCCTCGTTTATTATGCGGCCATCGACAATGTCAAGTAATTGACCCTCATTCATTGAAGAATGGAAGTGAATTGCTAGGTTTCTGTGAGGCTCTGGCCTTTCAAAAGAGAGTGCCTTCTCTCCTGTTAGTAGTTCGGCTAGGACAACTCCAAAACTATAGACATCACTTTTCTCTGTTAACTGGCTTGAGTGGAAGTATTCTGGGTCAAGATACCCTAGTGTCCCCAACACCAAAGTGGTTAACTGAGTTCGATCAAGAGGAATAATCTTTGAAGCTCCAAAATCAGAAACCTTTGTAGTGAGATTGTGATCAAGTAGTATGTTTGAAGTTTTCACATCTCTATGTACGATTGGTGCATGGGTAGCAGAATGCAAGTACGCCAAGGCCCCAGCAGTTTCAATTGCTATTTGTAATCTTCTTTTCCATGTAAGTCTTAAAGATTTGCTTTGATCGTGGAGATGCTCATAGACAGTTCCATTGGGAACAAATTCATAAACAAGTAAGGGAACCTCTGTCTCTAAACAACATCCCAAGAGTTTCACCACATTTCTATGGTTGATTTGACAAAGAAGAATCACCTCATTGATGAAATGCTCAATTTGGTTTGGATTACTAATTCTCGACTTTTTTATTGCTACAATTCTATTGTCAGGTAATATTCCTTTGTAAACTGTTCCCTCCCCACCTTCGCCTAAGACCATCTCTTCATTGAAATTGTTGGTGGCCTCTTTTAGTTCTTTCACATTAAATATTTTTGTCAATTCATTTGATCCACTGTACCTGTTTAACTGTTGTTGTAATAGCAGACCACCGTTTAGTTGAAAAAAATGTTCTTTAAGTCTGTTGAGTTTGCTTTTCTTTAATGCACAGTACACGTATAAGGTTCCCCCCACAAATGCCAATATACTTCCAGTCACACCTGATCATCGTTTATATTAATATGGTATTTTATAGCAGTGAAATTTCTTTCAGGAATATTATATTGTAATAGTAAAGCTAGTTAATCGTGTTCTGGAGTGCAGAATATAATGTTTTGATAAACAAAAGAATACTTACTTAAAGCAATTATGATTTTGCGGTTACTTCTGATAACACATCCGCTTCCATTATTTTTTCCATCTCCTTCGTATCCCTTTAGACAAGAACAACTGTAGCTCCCTGGGCTGTTACTGCATGTTGATCTCTCCTTTACACAGTCATGGGATTCCTCAACACATTCATCAACATCTGGAAAGATAATTAACGACTTTTAAAGAAAAAAATGTTCACAATTTGTGTATAGTTTCCATTAATTTGTACACTTGTTAACAATACTAAATACGAAATAATTAACATATATACCAGTTTCACAATATGTGATGTTTTAACTCAACAAGTTTGGTATTTAAATTTCATCCTAAAATAAATAATGAATGTAACAGTGCTTTAATATTGTGTGCATCAAATTTGAAGTAACTGATAAAGGTAGTTTTATAAAATTGATAAACATTAAAAATGAGTTATGTTAAAAGAAGGAGAATATAGAGACCTTGACAACCATCAGATAGGTAAGGATTTCCCCGAAAACCAGTGAAGCATTTACAATGGTAACCAGGTCCCTCCGTTGCATTGTGACATTCACTGTAGTTTGACTTACACGCATAGCTTGAAGCATTCTTCTGAGCATCTAGGCACGTGTTCCCCACTGCCCAATCCACAACCACGGGAAAGCTGTTGCTTGTGTTAAAATTGATGAAATCTGTCATGGAGAAATTGTAGGCTCCCTCCTTAACCAGAAATGTATAAGCACATGGGTAGGACTGAAATGCCTCATCGGTTGAGTTATAGTCGAAGATATTTGCACCACAAGAATAGTAGAAGTCCGATAGCCTATGTTGAATTGGAGTCTCGCAACAGAAAGTGCCGGAGCATGACTCGTCATGTGTGCTGTAAATGCTGAGGTCGTAAATGCTGCTGTAGAAGGACACGCAATAAGTGGGAGCGTATGCTGTCCAGAATCTTAAAGAGTCATCATATACTACTCCTGCCGTGTAAGCGCCCAATACAGTTAACTTGTTTTGCCGAGATGACAGGTGAAAAGGTGTGTATAACCTGAAGAAAAAGTAATCCTTGTCTGATTCACCATTCTTGTTATTGACACAACTTGTGGCAACTGGCAATGAAACGTGAAGTTGGCCGTCGAGTGATATGTCCAGCACCTTCACCTTTCTAATAGTATTGAAGAATGGAGTGGTAACATTAGATCTGAAGAATGGAGTGGTAACATTAGAATTGAGGAATGGAATGGAATGGTTGCAAGTGATGAGAAATGAGGTGTTGAGAGAACAGGGGTTTGTGAGGCCAAAGGGAAAGGGAATGGTAACGTTGCCACACTTTGATGGGCAGTTTGGCTTTGACATAGGTATAGTTTTAGCTGCTGCTACCGCTGCAATCAGGAGCACAACAAGTAGCAGATGATTTGAATTGACACTCATCTGCACCTTGTTTTTCTTTCAGCTTGATCTAATCATGAGTGTGTGCTCCTATCATTTACTAAGTATATGCAATGAATGATTCAGAAAGACTTGGGGTCAATGATAAGCTTCAGTTGCCCCTTCCAATGATCTTCCCAACAATGCATTCAACGTTGTCAAATCATGAAACAATATTTTTTTTTTTTTTTAAATAATATGGAAGGGAAGTGAAGACTCGGGGTCAACTATTGATTGATTATCATCTACGAACGAAGGAATTATGAGTGGAGAGCAAGCAGCTTGTTGAAAGATCAACCAAAACGACTTTTTCTCTATGAATAATAAATACATTGAATAGGATATTTTGTCATAGAAATAGAGGAAATAAATATTAGATGTCGGATGTTTACCTATGTACTAATCTCAACTCAACTACTTCTGGCAGAATCCTTCCCAATATCTTTTATCAAAATGGTATAATTTAAGCAAAATTCCACAAATATATTTTAATATATTACAGGCGATTTTTAAAGGAAGAAGTTTTCCTTCTATGTATAATTATAAAGGATACTTTTTTCTAAAGTTGAGTGAAAAGTTCATACATCAAAATATAATTTTATCTCCATAAATAAAATGAAGTATATGTCTATATCTGTTTTATTATGACCATTTCTGAAACAACTAAATCGAACTAAATCGTGTTTTGTTAAATGAGACTAAAAAGTGCATGCATGAATCAGACAGAGATCACATAAGTGCGTAGCCTTAATAAATAACTACTACCTTCTTGACATTTATATACAATTACTCACTTTCCGAACTCATTTACAATATTTATGAAATTCAATTTCATCTACTTCCAAAATGATAATGATATCCGATTTCAAATTTTATTCTTCACCTTGACATACACCCCATGTTGGCACTAAGAAATACCAATTGCTACTCATGTTCATAAAATAATGAATCAATTCCAACTAAATTAAAGATATCAAAATTTATGAGATTTTTAAAAATTAATTAAGCTAATAAATGAAAAAAACATTAAAAAACATATTTTTCTGTTATATAAAAAAACGGCTAAAAAGAGAAATCAGTTTGAATGTACGACTTTTGTATATAAGCAGAGAAAATTATGTTTTTACATATCTATAATTAGTAGTATTTATATTTATAGTATATGTATATATCCAATTGAAGGGAACACAGATGGAACTTTTATAGGTGTCACAACCACAAAACTCACTAAAATAATTAAAAAAAAAAAAAGCAAAGTTCAAATCTTTGCTAAATGAAGCAACTATCGGACATGGTGACAAACCAAACATCAGAGTGTGATTCTTGGGGCACTTAAATCTCGTTGTGTCCCCTACTGTCTCATATTTTCCAGTTTCTCAGTTTCTCTAAACTATACAAAATGTTTCTCTCTGAACCCTCTGTTCCTTTCTTTGCAGTCCCAATTACTACTCCTCTCGCACCTTCTTCAACTGATTTATGTTAGCATTATTTTTAAATATAAAATAAATATTATAGTATTTTTAGTTTTTATTTTTAAGGAACATAAAGTGGTCTATTAAGCCATTATTTTTATCTTTTTAACTGCATAGAGGTTATGGAGCAGACTTTATATAAGAGAATGGACCATCGAATTTGAGTGAGTTAAGCTTTAGAAAACAAAACTGTCTATGTTTGGATTTACAAAATTGCAATGGCAGGAGGTCTTTCATTTTGCTTCCGCTGTTTTTGATCTGAATGTGTTAATGTGATGTTAATATAACATGTTTAGGTCAATTTTATACTCTGCTATTTTATCATTTGGTATAAGAGCAAGTTTATTCCTCTACCTTGCATGTTTTCGTTGATTTGGATTTTTAGATTTACGGAATTATTATTTTGATTCATTTAATCCAAACAAAATTCTCAAATTAACGTAAAATCTGATTACAATTTCTTGTAATAATTTCTTGTAATCTTAAACGAAGCTTTTATTTTTTAAAAACCAATAAAATTAGCCTCTTTAGGATTCCCAGATTAACGATGAACCGTTTCTGTTTAATTTTTTCCTTCTTGTCTTTTGAATCGTCTTCCCCGGCATGATAATATGATGTTTGACCTGCGGTGATATCTGGTTGTTCATCAGAGTTTGTAGGATTTCCCATAGCATCCTGGGATTAACCTGTAGATGAGCGACTATTTTCTATGACTGTGCTTCTTCACCAATTTCTGCAGCGATTCGTCCCTGTTTGTGGCCATTCTTGAACTTGTGTTGTTGCTTGATGAAGGGAATGAAGAAGGGTCTGTTGAATTTTCGTGGTGGAGAACTGAGTCTTTAAAGATAGAGAAAGGGTTTATGCGCGTCGTAACTACAACTTTGTCTTTGAACCTTATATTTTCTTTTTCTCTCGTTTTTGCGTGTTGCACCACCACGCACATGAGAATTAAGCCTCTGCCACGCACATGATAATTGCAGCTTTATTCTTTTTCACGCAAACATTAAATGTTATTGCATTGGTGCTTTCATGTTTAAATATTATTATTATTATTATTATTATTATTATTATTATTATTATTATTTTAACATATAATATATAATATGTTTTATTATGATAAGCAAACATAACCTGTTTTATATATATATATATATATATATGTGTGTGTTTGATTGATAATTATGTATATTTTTTGGATATTATTTGTATGTATATATTTGTTGTTATACGTGCAACTAAAATATACATTATTATTACTATATTTGCATATTATGAATTTTATGTAAATATTTATATATTATTAATGTTTTAGTAGTAATATAGTTTTAATAAATTAAAGAGTAGTCACAACATCTTTAATCAATTAAAATTGTATATAAAATTTTGTTACATGAGAAACCTTAGTTGTAAATAATTATATTTAATATGATAAAATCTACCCACAGGAATTTTTTCATATTTATATGATTAATTAGGATAAAATATTAAATTATATTTCTTAATTTACCCACAGGAATTTGATAGTTTTATCATTAAGATAATGAGTCTAATTGAGTAGGACTTTAGCCCACAGACAAGTTTTATGTTAATAAACTCATTGGTAAAGACATGTTTGCATTGGTAAACATGACATTTATTTTAGTCTCAAATTATATAATAAGCATGTAACTTTGAATTTGCAGTTTCTCAATTTGTGAATTTTTCAGATATCAAGTGTGGTATTCCCGAGTTGAAAGGACATAATTATAAGGTTTGGAAGGAAAGAGTTCTTCTTCATTTAGGTTGGATGGACATTGACTATGCTATTAGAAAACCAGAACCACCGGGTATTATTGATACTAGCACTCCATATGCCATTGATCTTTATGAAAATGGTAGAGATCAAATCGTCTCTCCATAACGTTCATAAAAACCAACATTTCCGCTGGGATCCGGGGTTCAGTTGACCAGTATGAGAATGTCAAAGATTTACTAAGGGCTATTAATGAGTAGTTTACGACATCTGATAAATCTCTTGTCAGCACCCTTATAATGTAGTTTTCATCCTTAAAGCTCACTGGAATTAAGAGAGTACGTGATCATATCATGCAACATTGTGGCTTAACTAAAAGCTTTGGAAGTTACCATGTCTGACTCTTTCCTGGTACACTATATTTTGTGCACTTTGCCTCACCATTATGTCCCCTTTAAAATCTCTTACAACACACATAAGGATAAGTGATATATTAATGAATTATTGACCATGTGTGTTCAAGAAGAAGAAAGGCTATTAATAGAAGAATGGGAGAAGGTGAACTTGACTACTTCTTTTGAGAATAAGAAGAACCAAGTTAATAAGAAGGGAAAGATTTCTGCTAAGCCAGTTATTAAGAAGGAGTCCAAATGTTTCTTTTATAAAAAGAAAGGACACATGAATAAAGACTGCTTAAAATTTAAGAATTGGCTTGATAAGAAAGGTACTCCATTTGCTTTTGTCTGTTATGAATCTAATTTGATTAGTTTTAATCATAACACATGGTGGATTGATTTTGGTTCTACAATCCATGTTTCTAATACCTTGCAGGGTATGCAAAACCTAAGGAGGCCAGTGGGAAGTGAGCAATATATCTACTCAGGGAGTAAGATGAGCTCACATGTGAAGGCCATTGGAATGTGCAACTTAGTTTTAAGTAGTGGTTTTGTTTTGCATTTGGAAAAGACATTTTATGTTCCTTGTTTTTCTAAGAATTTGATTTTTGTTTTAAGACTTATACCTTTGGGTTTTTCTTTTAATTTTTTATATTTTGGTTTTACCTTAATGAATAAATCTAAAGTTGTTGGTTTTGGTGAATTGTGTGATGGTCTTTATTCCATTATTTTGCAAAACAATATCGCTTATGATTCTATGCATATTACTGTTGGGTTAAAAAGATGTGTTATGAATGAGAATTCTTCTATTTTATGGCACCATAGATTGAGACATATCTCCATTGAGAGAATTAAGCGATTAGTAAATGAAGGAGTACTTAGTACTTTTGATTTTACTGATTTTGAGACTTGCGTGGATTGCATAAAGGACAAGCAAACTAACAAGTCCAAAAGAGGTGCTAAGAGGAGTTCAAGTTTACTAGAAATTATTCATTTATATATTTGTTGTCCGGATATGGACGCAAGTAGTTCGAAATACTTCATCACCTTTATAGATGACTACTCACGTTATATGTATCTCTACTTACTTCGTTCTAAGGATGAAGCTTTGGATGTCTTTAAAATTTTTAAGGCTAAAGTTGAGCTACAAAGCGGAAAGAAAATCAAGATTGTGAGATCAGATAGATGTGGAGAGTATTATGGTAGATACACGGAGAATGGACAAACACCTGGTTCGTTTGCGAAGTTTCTTCAAGAACATGGAATTGTTGCCCAATACATTATGCCTGGTTCTCCATATCAGAATGGTGTGGCAGAAAGAAGGTACAAAACTTTAATGGACATGGTGAGAAGTATGAGGAGTAATTCAAAACTTCTTCAATTCTTGTGGACTGAAGCACTGAA